TGTGTGTGTGTGTGTATGTGTGTGTGTGTGAGTTCAGGGTGAAAGGGTTGATAAAATATTCACTTTCTTGTAGGAGTTGAACGTTCTACTAGACAGGAATAAACCGGCCCTTATTCACGAAAAAAAATAGACTGGCAGAAGTAGATTGATCCTGCTTCACACAAATAGCCCGGCAGAAATAACATCATCCTTTAGTGACAACAAATTGTTTCACATATAGCATACTACGTACAGTATAATTATGTGGGTTGAACCTCCTGATGGATCGTGGTTGATTTAGAATATACAAAAAGAAAGAAATCTTCATTGCTGTGAAATCTGGTTTTGAAATAAAGATATCTGATAACATCGAACTTTGCCTTTGCAATATAATTGTTATCATCGCTCTGTTCTGAATGTGTGCTTATTTGTTTCTTTTTTTCTTTCTCAATTTCTTAACAAAAGGGCATGGTCATTTTGTTTTTAATCATCTCGTATTGTGTTTGTTTTTATTTCAGATTGAAATTCCAAGACCAAACGTGGCACCAAACGTAAATGAGATGTACACGGTAAGTAAACATACTGATTTGTAATTAGTGGGATTTTTGTTTTTAATAAAAAAAAAAACCACTACTGTTTTCTCATGATCATGAGTCAGTTTGAATGTTTTGTTAGTTTATTTCCCTTTTTTTTCCTTTTTGGGACTAGCAATTCAATGAGAGATTTGAATTTTATGATAGAGACACAGAGAGTTTGCGGTACTGGATAGAAAGAATTCTTGCTTTTCGCAGAAAGTTTGTTATGTTTTGTTTTGCCTGGGGAAAAAAATCCGTTTTTTTCTGTAAGGTTACCTTAGATGAGCCTACTGGCATTTAATGTCCTGACTATGCTTGAGTGATGATTTATATGCTACCTTATGGTTTTTGTGGGATACGTAAAGGAATGTTTTTGTATGACTTAATAGAAGTAGTCATGAATCTGAAGAATTTTTTTTAAAATTAACATGTTTCTGTTATTTTTTGTTGTTGTTCTTTGTTTGTGAAG